CTCCCTCTTTCCGCGCACAGTAGCTACCCCATACTCAACTTTCAATTCAATTGTCAACCCAACGAACCCAGTTACTGATTCTGCTACCCTCCTCACTCAATCACCATCCCAACCTTCGCCATTATTAACCAATCTTCACCATCCGCGACAAACACCCTTCAAACCACCTCACCACAATCAACATCCCATGTTATCCCTATTTACACCACAAGCCTCCCTCTGTCTGAAACCCCTTCATATTCACTGTAACCCCACCGAGCAACTCACTACAACACCTACAACCTCCACCAATTCCGCAAGCTCCGCATCACAGACCCAATCCGTTGTCAACTCCCTCTGATCCGTTACTCAACAATTTCATATCGCCACTGCATCTCCAGCCGCGTGACCCTTCGTCTCACCACCGGAAACCAGTGACTAGCTCCACCTTGTTTTCCTTCATACTTTTCGTTCAGTAACAACACTTCTCCACATCCGCCACAACTCTTCGACAACACTTACGATACCTTCAGCCAACTTCTCCAACGTTATTTAGAGAACTGTCAACATCTTCGGCTAGCTACAACGTTTTCGACACTATTCGATAATTCTTCAATTCTACTGGATTGTTTAAATTGTGATGTTGTATTGTTTTCTGATTAATTACTGTGTTGCTGAAATTGTGAGAACCTTGTGTCAGTATTTTGTTTTGATTTAAGTTAGAAATGTTATGCTGCCACAATGATAAAATAAATTGAAATTTCCCTATGTAAACCTTTTTTCTGATTTGTTCAAGTTTTTATTTATTTTAGAGATCATGTGATAAAAATTCTGCAAAAAAATATGAGTTGGTTTGAATGTCAAGTTGCTGATTTGGAAATCCTGTGTTAATTTCTAACGATTGATATGTTGGTGTTTTCAAGTTATAAATACAACATTGTGAATCTGTGATAAATTCTGAATAAAACAGTTTGTTATGGTGTTGGTGTTTCATATTTTTTTTTGAGTAAGAATGTTTGAGCTCTGTTTCGTTTATATATCTAAATGACCGCTGCATTTTGACTAAAAGATTAAAGATTGCCGGACAATGTTTGTATTCATGTTTGACTTTAATTTGGAGAGCAATTTAAGTCTTGATATTGCTACTTACTTCGATGAAGGTGACGATAATGCCTCATTTATTTGTGTGTAAATCTGATCGAGAAACTATTGAAGACAACGTGCTATTTTCTTTTGTTATAAACCATGTTTGAATTGGAATTTTGGGACATAATAGTTTAATGCATAGTTGCTGCCCAGTTTTTTCAACTTAATCGATTATGACTTAATTCCAACTTGGTTCATGCTTTGAGGTCAACTTTAATTGCAACATAGGCGCATGCTATTTTGTTTTCGGTTTCTAATAAATTGAAATGTGTCTTGAGTTTGTTTTGAGACTTTAAGTCTATGAAGTTTTTAGTTGTTGTCTGGATTTGATTTGGTGGTTTTAAGTCTACTTTGAATTAAATTTCTCATGTTGCAATGTGAACTTTTGATTCTTGTTTTCTGTTGTGGTTGAAATAACGATTGCTTTTGAGTTTGCTTGATGGAATACACTTGAAATAATGTATGCAATGCTGATTTTTTGTGTTTACATTGAATAATATCATGAATTCTTGATTTTTATTTGTGTAAATATTTATTTGTTCATGTGCATCATACCATTTCATTTCAATTTTATATTTTGTGATTACAAACATAGATTTTCATTATTGTAATTTCATTCATTTTATTTTTATACCGCTTATGCTACTAACGAGTTTGTTTATTGTGAAGGTTTCTGAGAATTGTTTCAAGTAATTCTCGCATATCGCGTCCATAATTTCTTCTTTATTCCATTTTTATTGTATTCTTTATTTTACTATTCCTATTTAATATTTGGTATTGTAAATATATAATTGTATATAGTATTTTTTACTGTACATTTTATTCACTTATAAATAAATTCAGGTTGTTTAAATATTATTTTTATTGGGTTACGATTTTAAATTTTAATTCAAATTAACTTCTGAAAATCGTACTGATGCATATAAGTTTCCCCGTGCTGTTGGATTTGTCTGTATATTTCATGTGATGCAGGGAATCTTATCCGATACTATGAGCTTTATCCACATTTTCTTCGTCCGTGATTTATTTTCACATGCTGCGCTATCTGTGCTCGCTGCTTGGAGTATTATCTTACATCTGGTTTTTTTTTATGTTATCGACTTGTGATTTATTTTCACCTGAGGTTTGATATACTCTTAGCTTATTTTTCTGTCCGTGGCTTTAAACCCAAAGGAATAGGAACATGGTATTGACTTTATCATGTCAAGTATTGATTTCTTATTTAGTTGGACTCTCTTTACCTTATCTTTTACCCTCCTATACATAGGACACTCTTTTCTCCCATTCTTTAATTTTCAAAACTTTCTCATATTTTTCAAAATCTTCTTTGTTAATAAACTCGAACTGCTTTCATAATAAACCTCGACTTTGTCGAGTGTCTTTTCTTTTAAAAGTTCTTTTCTTTAAACAAACTTCAATTCATTTAATCATACTTTGACATTTTTCAAAATTAACAAAAACACTTCAACTCATTCAAACCCTTTTGTGCGCTCGAGCACCCTTTACCCTTCAAAACTTTTTCCAAGATGAGACATGATTCATTGATAGTCGAGCAGCATTCTCCTATTCCCATGGTTATAAAGGTGTCGACTTTTCCACTTCAGTACTAGAGGCGTTCTCAAACCCTCACTCTTGCTGACGCATGGTCCATCTTTCTCATACCTTGTGGGCGTTAGTCGAAATTTCTCTCCTAACAATGACGACTTATCTCTTTGTTTAAAATCAATCAACAGACAAGTCTCTTCTATCCGAACTACGGTGCGCTGACTTTCCCATTGTACGAGGGAGTACGTAGGCACTAAGTCTTACGACCCAAGGCGAGCAAAAATAATTAAAAAAAACATTTTCTTCTGTTTACAAATACTCATTCATTCTTTTCCTTTAGCAAGTAAACCTTTACATGACACTACTTTTAAAAGAAAACAAACAAAGTGGATCATGCGGAGTACCGTAGATGCTTAGGGTGCTAACATCTTCCCTTTGCATAACCGACCCCCGTACCTCGATCTTTGATCTTTTATTTCATTGTGAGTTTTGTTCGCTTTTTTCCTATTTCTCTTTGGAAACAATAAAGTGCGATGGTGACTTCATTGTGTTGAGATAAGTCAATTGATGGCTTAATCTCAAATCTTTACGGCTACATATTTTCTATTATTGTCGCATTTCATTCTTTGTTTTATCGTCGTGTGCAACATCATGCTAGACGAAACTTGTGATAAAAATCAGTGATATTAATATCCCTAGAACCCGATTACTTCTTTAGGACAGGTTGAGCCAACTAAACCTCAAGAGGGTACTTACCTACAAACTCCATGCAAGCTTTAAACCTAAGGCCTTTGCGTGCTTTGCTTGTGTTTGATTATCTGATTGAGCATAACATCATAACATCATAACATCATATAATGACTAACCATTTCAAGGATCTAGAGGATTTATCTTTGTTCTGTGTTGTAGGTTCATGGCTTCCAGTCGTAGGAATACCATCCAGATCAACTTTGTAAGGGTACCTTCTAAGCTTGAGGAATTAGTCTCAAAGGTTCCCGGGAATTCTCAATTCACCAAGAGACATGGTCATCTACTCAATTTGGTTACTACTGGCTTTCAGGAAGACATGATGAGCGTTCTTTTCCAGTTCTTTGATCTGAAACATCACTGTTTTACCTTCCCGAATTATCAATTGATGCCCACAATAAAATAATTCTCTAAGTTGCTCGAAGTGCCTATTCTTGATCAGATATCTTTCATCAGCTTAGAGCAAGTTCCGAAACCTGAAGACGTTACAGTAGCGTTACATCTGAAACAATCGGACATTGTATTTAATTGGGAAACAAAGAATGAAGTCAATAGTCTTTTTCTTAAATTTATGATAGAGAAGGCTCAGGGGTTTCTAGATGCCATGAATCTTCGCGCTTTTGAGGATATGTTGGCTTTGCTGATTTATGGTTGGTACTATTTCCTAATCCGGACCAATTCATATATGTGAATGCTATCAAAATATTTCTCACTCATAATCTGATACCTACTTTGTTTGGAGATGTCCTACATTCCCTCTACATTGACAATCCATTTTGAATCTTACTTTGACATCAAAGTGTCTTACAGGTACCTCCACTTCACATTCAACCGCTACTCAACTCAAAATTCGTAAGTCTTGACAATCCATTCTGATCAAGTACGATCAGAGAGAATCATTAATTTATACACACTTTTTTGTTTAAGTTATAAAATGGCTGAGATTTACCATTTTAAGATCACTCACCTTTTAAAAATTAACAAGTAAATTATCGTAGGTTCAACTTTGCACACCTATATATATTTGATAAGCAATACCTTTATATAAATTTACGTTGAATAAAACATATTAAATGTGGGGGTATGGAAAGTATAGCCTCTACATTTTCATAGCAATAAAATACCCGGCCCAAATAAAAACGGCAAAAACCGAACCCAATTAAAAACCAAAACAAACAAAAAAATCAAGCCCAAGCACAATCTAGTTCTTGAACTTCAGAAACCGTTCGATTCAAGAAGCTGAAACAGAAACGATCGTCGGCGTCACCGCACTCTCCGATTCACACACTCACACTCCAACTTCCACCGAAGAAGTTCAACAATCCATTTCAATCCGAATCATTCCAAGGTAAATTCACTTTATACTCTTTATGGAATTTTCAATCTGAATCAATTGAATAGGGTTTTGAATTTTAAGATTTAGGTTTTTGAAATTTGTTGTTGATTATTGATCTGAAGAATGTGAAAGTTTTGATCTTGAATTGTTTCTTTGATAAACGACTTGCAGTTTTGGTGCAATTGTTCGGATTTTTTAGGAGTGTTGCGTTGTTTAGGGCTAAAATGAGGTTCGAGCGTGTGCACTGATGTCATTGTTTTGGATTGTAGTTCGTCAGCTAGCAGAAATTGAGGCAATGGTATTTGGCTTTTTCTCTTTACTTTTTAATGTTCAAAGGATCTTGAATTTGTGTACTAATTTATAGAAATGATGTGGAAAGTGAAGATATGCATATTTAGTTTACATGTTTAATGTGTAGTAAAACGAAATGATGGAAATTTCTGTTATTTTGCATAAGATGGAAATGTAGTGATTGTGATTTCTGATCGTGTCAAGGAATGGTAAACTGATGGTTTTTGTCTTTAAAATACATGTGTAAAGGCGGCATCAAAGAAAGTGATTCCTAGGGAAGTGTGGGAGAGGAAGCTTAATAATGTCAAGATTAGGAAAGAAGACATGAATAAATTGGTAATGAATTTCCTTGTCACGGAGGGTTTCGTTGAAGCTGCTGAGAAATTCTGCAAGGAGTCTGGAACTGAGCGTATCCTTTTTTATTATTATTTTTTTGGGGGGGAGGGTGGAATTGTTTGTGTTTAATTGATTTTTGGTTGTCCTTATTGAACTTTAGCTGACATCGATCTTGCTACAATCACTGATCGGATGGCTGTTAAGAAGGCAGTACAAAGTGGTAACGTTGAAGATGCAATTGAGAAAGTCAATGACTTAAATCCTGAGGTGAGCTTTACAGACGGTGAACTTTCACTTTCTATTCTATGTAGTATTTTTGGTTAGCAATCCCCATAACGCACACATTGTTCATGAATTTTATTTAATGCAAATGTTGTCTATGACTATGATCAAATTGATGCAGAATTCTAATAGAGAATATGACACTGCCTCTTTTAATTGGTTATCTTACTATCTCATGCTCATATGTGCCAAAATTTTGGGTTATACTTGGACCTTATCTTGCCATAGGTCTAACCAATGCGGGATCTCAACACACCCTTTCTAGCCTGGTGGATTTAATCATTTTCTTAATCAGATTTTAGACATAAAACGGCACAACCCTTTTTACTTTGTTATCTTGCTATCTCCAATTGTATTATGCTATCTCTAGTTGAGAAGGGATCTAAACACCCCCCCTTCAAGCCCAGTATTAGATTTTTGGGGTTTGGACAAATGTGGATGGCTCCACAACAACTAGGATAGACTTTGATATTATCTCAGACTTTTCTAGTCTCATATCTACTCCTTAAGCTAACTCTATGGATGAGAATTGCTCGTGTTTTATATGAACTACTCCGTCATATCTCTAGTTGATGTGATATCTTGATAAAAGGGGATATAGCTTGCATAAAAGTAGTGCTATTAAATTTGAGTAAATGTTCTAATCTTTAAGTATTTTCATTTCACTGTGCTTCCAAACTGTTGCTTTCTTATTGTTTCTTATATTTTCACTCGATAACTTATTTTCATGGGTCCATTTGGTGTCTTCAAAGATTTGTTTTTGAAATGAAAAATTGTGTGGAAATCTCATTTTCCATTTTTCATGAATTTCTTGGCGATGACTCCGTCCTTAATTTTTAATGTGTGCTGAACCCATACAAAACAGTTTGTATACATCAGAGCATTCATTGATCTTTGTCTTATTCATCTCTTCGATAAAATTAACATCCGTTTTGTAATACTTTCTGCAGATACTGGACACGAACCCCCAATTATTTTTCCATCTTCAGCAGCAGCGGCTAATAGAACTAATCCGGAATGGAAAAGTAGAAGAAGCTTTAGAGTTTGCACAGGAGGAGCTTGCACCAAGGGGAGAGGAAAATGTAAACTCTTATAATGAATTTTTGCGTGTCTCTATTGTCATACTATACCTTTATTAGTGAATTATTTCTGGTGTTATTATTAACCGGGGTTCACTAACAGTTTTGGGGATAAGTTGCTTTGGTAGCCTGTAGTCAGGAAAAAGTAAAATTAGAACGCCTTTTTTTTCTTCTCAGTTTTAATCTTGTGGCATACTTGGTGCTAACACAGTGTTTGAAATTTGGTTTCCAGCAAAGCTTTTTGGAAGAATTGGAGAGGACTGTTGCACTGCTTGCCTTTGAAGACATTTCAAACTGTCCTGTTGGAGAGCTTCTTGACATATCACAGCGTCTAAAAACAGCAAGTGAGGTGAATGCAGCTATACTTACAAGCCAGAGTCATGAAAAAGGTATTTGTTTTGTTTGTTTCAAAAATCTGTGTTTTTTTTTTATGTGTATAGAAGCTTTGCCAAATTCGCCCCAATTTAGTAACCACTATTCTGTTAGTTTACATTATGACGGTTTATGCCTCTGATGGATTAAAACTTGTAATGCTTGTAAGTGATTAACTTTCTGAAATATTTGAATGCATTAGTAAATCTAGATTCCAAGGAATCCGAAGATTATTCATATTCCGGGATCAATCATATTTTTATCCTATACATTTTTGGCTATGCCATGGCGGCAATAAGTTTTATACATACAATGACTTGATGCAAACTACCAACCCTTCACCATTTGTATAACTCTAGTACTAGAAGTTTAGTTGATATCCTTTGCATGCTGTTGAGATGTTGTGTTATGTTTATACATGTCCCAAATCTGGTAATATTTTTCTCTGTGGTGTTCAACTCCTGCAACCAAATTGTTATTGGAATCCACTTGATTTGAAGATACATTTGAATTTTTCTTTTTTCTTTTTCTTTGATATGACAAACCATTTTCTTCTTGCTTAACTCGGATATCGAATTGTATAGTAATATACAAGGATGATAATGTTATGGTCCCTTATGTTGGATCGTGTTGACACAGTCCTAGACGCGTAGAAGCCTTGCTTCGACCTATGGTGAAGGCAGAAGCGGGCTTGTCCTTGACAGAGCCTCTTCTTAAATTCACAAATACTTTTTCTGATAATAATTATTGATGATTTTTATTGCTAATCTGAATGCCTTTAAATGGGCTTACAATAGAAAAATCCCTAGTTAAATTAGGTCAGCAGTAACCAACTACTTTTCCTATAATTAGTATCATTTAAATTTAAATGATAATAATCCTCTTTAATAGGTAAATTCTGTTTTAACCTAAATCTTATCTAAACATACTGAAATTCAAATTTAAAAATTCTGAAATGCTAACTTATTAAAAATTAATAAAATAATAAATCCTAATTAGCATAACTAATCCTAATCAGCAGAACTAGATCCGTATCAGATAACAAGCTGAAATGAAGAGTTGAGTTTGAAGTATTACTTGGGTTACTGCAGTTAGACTTTGATTTTTAATTTCTGCCGGTTTTAATTGTGTATTTTGATGTATTACTCGAGTTACTGCTGTTAGCCTGTTAAAACTTTGATTTTTTATTTCTTTCAGTCTTAATTGTGCATTTTCCAAACTAGCCTCTGCACTTGTTTGTAATTATGTTATTCTGTCCTGTGTTGTGTTATGGGTCTATGGATTGTTTCTAAACTTGTTGCAAAACTTCTAACATACTCTGCTGTATCTATTGCTATGTGGTAATTCAATGCTTTAAAATGTGCTAATATTGATTTTTTTTCCTTCCATCAGACCCAAAACTTCCAAGCTTGTTGAAGATGTTGATATGGGCCCAAAACCAGCTGGCCGAGAAAGCTTCTTTTCCTCGCATAAATGATATAACCACAGCTGCCTTAGAAGATCCCGTTTAAAACTTGTGACATTTCAATTTGATTGTGAAGATTTTAGGTTCTAGATGAAGTGATTGTTGCCATTGTTGTTAAAAATTGTGTATTACTTTGAAAGATGTTTGAAAACATGTAACGTTCATTTTCTCCTAGATAGTTGTTCCAGTGGTTTTATACTGTTGTACAAAAAGATTGTAAAATACAGTCATCTATTCATTTTTTCCCTTCAAGTTAACTTTTGTTACGGTAATCTGTTGGATAATGAAGATATATAAATGTTTCTCACATATGATAGCAGAAGATAGCCCAAATATGGCACATTTATTTTCAATTGCCAGGGACCGTTAAGCCTCAGAATTCTCTTCACTTCTCTGCTCTGCCTCATTAATGAAAAACAATTCTCTGGCAAAGGTGAAGAAGCGGGTCCTGTTTTCACTTTTCTCTAACCGTGTGGCTAAAATTTATTTGGCGAGTTTGCTTAAAACATAGTAATAATAATAAAACAATGTAAACAATCAAGTAGTGTACTTGTAACTAGTGACAGAAGTAGAGGATGTATTGTATAATACTGTAACACAAGGGATGAGAACAAGATCCTCAAAAATAAAAAAAGTGCCATTACTAAACTAGAAACATACGAAGAACATAAAATTAGTAAAGATGATAAAAAAAAAAACAAGTCTTTCTCATTTAACAGTGAGATTATAAATAATAATTAGTTAGTCTTAACCCAAATAACATAAACCCATATAGTGTTATCGATGTCTTTGAAGTGATCAAGTTGTGCGTCTTGTGCAATGAATTTCTTCACCGCGGTGTCTCTAAGATGAGAAGGAGAACCTCCATCATCAAAGTTAAGTGCATAACTTGAAGGATCATATTGAAACATGAACCTCTGTTTCTTTCCATTCTTCAAAGCCCTCTTCACCGCAGCCCTGATCCTCCAAAACAAGCTTGTACAATGCTTCTTTCCATAAGCATTAGCCCATTCGAATTTCTCCAACAAACCCATTTGAGTAGAAGAAATATCCTGAATGGTATATTTAAAAAGAAAGAAAAACTAGTAGTGATGGAGGGAAACACAAGAGTGTATAGGGGATGGGATGGGATGGGATGCGAGAATGAAAATAATTGGAAAAGTAAAAAGTTTCAATGTTGGGTTTGGAGAATAAGAAACATTGAAATAGTAGAAAAGAAAGGGCGGAATGTAATCTTTTTGGTGTCACGTTGGGATGCTAAAATTCTATAGTATTCTCTCTAGTCTCTAGAGAGAGAATGGTGGTGTGGTGGGGTTGCAGAGCAGTGGGCAGAGAGCCACAAAGTGTAATGTTGTTTCTCTATCAGAATCAGAATTGAATTCAGAATGTTGTTGTGACCGTATAACGAATTTTATAGTATAATAATCAAACCACGGTGTATATGTATCTTCTCCAGTTTCTCTCACCTTCTTTTTCTTAACTAGGTTAGACTTTCTTGGATTTTTTATTTTATTTTTATATCAAACACTTGAAGCCTAATTTTTCGGAAATATATTTCTTTTGATTAAATTAAAACATACCCAAACTTCATCTGTACAATTATTTTTAATCGATTACTTCTATTTTTAAAATCTATCGAATATTTAATTTTAATGATTAGAACTAATTTGAAGATCTCAAAACTAATTTTATTAACAATTTTCATTAATATATAATTATTTTTTGTTGTTGAATATATGATTATTTTAATTTTTAGATACAAAGATAATACATATTTGTTTATTAGTTATAAAGTTATAAATTTCATCTTAAGAATCATTTTAATTGATTATCATGATTTTCAAAAGGTATCAAAAATATTTTGTTTTTAAAAATATAATGTAGATTGAGTTTTGGTGATTATTATATTTATAAATTATAATTAAAGAGGACTATATAAATATATTTTAATCAAATTTATTAATTTATCGAATTTGAAATTTAATAGTTAGGATTAATTATTTTCATATGTGAAGTGTTTTCACACTATGATTATATTAGTATTTTTATTAAATAATTTTATTAATTTTATTTATAAGTTATATCAAAATTATATATTTGTTTATAATTATATCATTAGTAAATTTTTTTTGAATAAATATATAAATATTTTTAATTTTTTGATAGTATGATAATACATTTTTATATATTAATGATTAAATAAAAATATTTCCTATAAAATTATTTTTAGATATTATTTTAAAGGAAAATAAATCAATTTTTTTTAAATGCATCGTGAATTTTTTTGAATAACGCCTCATATATTAATCAAAAAGAAGCATTACAAAAAGATCAAAAAGTCCATCAAAAATTAGAGAAACGAAAAAAAAGGCAAACTTAGCCTATTTTGTACAAAGTCCTTCCTAATGTCAATAGGAATTGATTCAAAAATGGTGAGAGAAGAAACAAAGAGACCTTAATTAACCAAAAAGTCTGCACAACTGTTTCCCTCTCTATGAATGTGTGAAGTCAAAATATTTTTGTTAGTAAAGTAACCTAAACAAGAGAACTAATGATTTCTGAGTTGCTAAGACACAAGGGAAGAGTTGCTGAAAGCGTGCACCACATTCACGGAGTCCGTTTCTAACCAGAGTTTCGACCAACCATTGTCCATCAGAATCTTCATGGCATAAACAACTGCAACAAATTCAGCAAGATAGGAAGAAGGGAAAATCACTTTGTTTGCAAAAGCCTTAATAAAATTACCTTGGTGATCCCGAAAAATGCTTCCAGAACCCGCGAGAAGAGAATTATGAAGATAAGAACCATCAAAATTGCACTTCGTCCGTCCGGCAGGCGGAGGAAGCCAAAGCACTTCTTTGATTACTAGAGCTTTGAGAGGATGAACCTTAATGTTAAAGGTTTTCAAAATCTTGAAGTCCTCTATAGACCCGGAAGCCGTAGCTTTTGAGTTGGCGCAAGTAATGAATAACTGAGATTTAATTCAGTGAATAGTGAGCCTGACACTGGGAGCGATAAATCTGTCATAGTTTCTAGATTCTCACATGTTATAAAGAATGTAAGTGATAACAACTTTTAGGATAAGGGAGCAATGTTTAGATCTGTTAAAGGAGTAAACCGTCCACCAGTCATCCAACAAACGGGGCGGATTATCCATGTTAATGCTCTTATAAAACAAAAAGTAGATTTTTTTTGTTGGAAAAAGGACAATCAAAGAACAGATGGTTGGCGGATTTAGCGTTTATTTTGCAAAGACTGCATCTGGAAATAATATTACAACCCCGATATATCAACTTGTCTTCTGTCGGCACCTTGTCAAGCATAAATTTCCAGAAAAAAATGGACTTATAAGGCGCATTATCTTTGCACCATATCGCTTGTGCCCGAGAAATCAGAAGTAAGGAGCTTTGAAACATAAGCCTCTTTCAAAGAGAGACCACCAGAATTTCCATGAGGCCAAACCAAATAGTCTTCTAGATCAACAAAAGTACATAGGCTCAAGTTTAATCTTTGTTGAATGAAATGGAAAAGAGAATTCCAATTATCCAGAAAATACCAAGTGCCATCAATGATGGAATTCAAAACCTTTGAATTAATAGACAAACAATTTTCAGCAACATAAGCAAAGTAAGTTTCCAAAAAAAAAGGTGTACCACACCACACATCTTGTCAAAACAAAATGGATTTCCCATTACCTAAGGACCAACTGGAATGCATCTTAACAGTGGACAACTTAGATTTGACAGTAGTCCATAAGGAAGAAAAAATATGATAATTGATAGTATCGTACGATTTGAAAACTTTGCTTTGAGAGTAGCTGCCCAATTTTCTTTACTTATTAACATATCCCAGGCAAGCTTTAAGTTATACGCTTCATTAAGACTTATAAGAGATCTAAGGCCTAGCCCACCATGAGCTTGCGGCCTACACATTTTGTCCCAAGCCACCTGAACAAGCTTCCGCTCCAAAATAGACCTTGTCCAAATAAAATTTATGGACGCTTTTTCAATTTCCTTAAGTAAACTAATAGGACATGAATAACATGACATGGTATGAATCAACATGCTTTGGATAACGGGCTTAACTAGAAGAACTTGACCTGCCACCAAGAGGGTTGCGCCTTTCCAACCCTCCAGCTTAGAGACAATTTTATCGACGATTGTCCTGAGAAAAATTGCTTTAGCTCTCCCTTTAAAATGGGCACCCTTAAGTTATATAAAAGGTAACGAAACCCTATAGAAACTGGTCATAACAGCAAGATGTGACACCCTTGAATTAGAGATAGAACTCGAAAAGATGCAGGATTTGGCACTATTAATTTTCTGACCCGAAGCAGTGGAGTATCTACAAAATAAATCCACGAGAGCTTGTAAATTAGCCACAAACCCTTTACAAAATATTAAAATGTCGTCTGCATAAAAGATATGAGAATGGATATAAATGTGCTTGCTATTTTTGATGAGTTTAAGAGCTTCATCATCCACTAACTTTGTTATGCTCCTGCTCAAAACCTCTTATGCTAAACATAACAAGAGCGTGGAGAGGGGATCTCCCTGCCTCACCCTCTAGTGCACTTGAAGTAACCACGATAAATACCGTTAATAGAAACAGATAGATAGGCCGATGACAGAATGGCATGAATCCAATCACATAAAATGTCATTAAAACCATACTATTTGAGAACTCCGATAATAAACTCCCAATTGATAGTGTCAAATGCTTTTGCATTATCAAATTTAAGGGCTAAATTACCACTTAAAGCTTTGCTATCCATACGAGCGGTCCCGTGCAATTGGTAGAACAACAAAAGCCCGTAAGGCATAATACATCAGGGTCAATAATTCTTCCTCAAAAGCGAGATAAGAATAATTCTCTTCCAAAGTAGACGTTTGACACACATTTGGATTATGAGGTCCAAGACGAGCCAATATTACATGGACCCGCGAAACCCCTCGAGCACCACCAAGAACTTTGATGTCGAGATCATTCCCCGAGGCTTCTCCTCCTCGCAATTGAGGGGAACCCAACTAAGAAGACCGAGCAAACTTCCTTGTGACCCCGACTGAGGCGCGTGTACTGACCGACACCAAAGCATTAGCACCCACCGTCACGGTCCAAACTCCCCTATTCATTTAGTGAATTATCTTCTCATACTTCATCGAGTTTGTATAGGATATTTATCAAAATTTGAAGAACTGAAGTTAAAAATAATTGATAATGAGAGACAAAGACATTAGGATCTTGCCACAAATAACATTCCTTTCCTCCTTAGTGCCAACATCCATCAACAAACAAGTTTCAATGTTCCGCTTCAAGCATTTCTTTGAGATTTCATCTCGGGGAACAATACCCCGACATAACCCAACTATTTGACGAAGGAGGTCATCCGTTTCATCAGGTAAAGCTCCTCTTGGGACAAGTCACTTTCCTTTTAGACGTATAATCCATTCCCTGTCAAAAACATTGCCTTGATTCTAAAACGTTTAAAATAAACCAGTACGTCGATTCTCCTTCCCAATTTATATGGCACATAATGTCGCATGAGCCTTTTTGTTGAAAGGGGTAAAAAAGAATCGATCTTCTAAATACTTCTTTCCATTGGAAAAGACTTTGAAATGATGAGTAACTTGTGCCAAGGTGATTAAGCCCTGACCTTGTGCGTGGTTCGCTGAGCTACGTTGTACTCTAAAAAGATGGAAGAAAATGGATAACGAGGGAATTCCTCTTAGATATTCACACAAATGATGGAAGACTTTGATGTAAGCCCAACTCACAATATTAAGCTGCGAGGGAGCAATCATCACATGATTCAAAACCTCTATTTGAAAACCATTAAGAGCAAACTGACACCCAAAAGTGAAAAGTGCACTCTTAAAAAGGAATAATGTACCTCAATACTCACTACAAATCCTTTTACCTTCCTGAGGGATCAGTACATCCCAATCTAAAGAAGGGCCCACATCGAGGAAGACCCTCACGAGACGACCTTCACGAGCAAATGTAGAAGTAGTGGTTTAAATGGAAAGATCAACCC